CTGGGGCTGTGTTCAGGACCCCGTCCCCTGTGGCGAGTGTGACCCTCCTGTCCTGGGGCAGCCGTGGCCTCAGGACAGGCCACCCGGGGCACAGGCCTCAGACAAGGAGGTTTCCCTTCGTATCAAGTTCAGAGCTGCCGGTTCACCAGCACAGTGACAATGGTGTCTGCCAGGGAGCTGGAGAGTCTGTGTGCTGGGGAGGGGACCCAGGGGAGGGGTGGCCATCAGGAAAAGGGACCCGGAGAGGAGGCCAGGGGAGAGGGTGGTCACGGGGCCGGTGAGTCAGCTCCTGGGAGCTGGGTGAGCAGGGCCAGATGCTCTGGGCTTCTGCTCACCGAGTGGTCCATGGGCCAGCAGCTGGGCACCGTCCAGGAGCCTGTTAGCAATGCAGAATCTCAGTGTCCACCCCGGAGCTCCAGAGTCAGAGCCTGGATTTAATAATATCCCCAGGGGATTCATGTGCATGATACAGTTTGAGGAATACTGGTCTCCACGGCCTGCCCGCCCCAGCAGGCGCCCCACGGGCAGGCCCTGGCGTCGCAGAAGCTGCAGGTTCCTGCTGAAAAAGAAGTCCTGAGGATCTAGCCTGTTCACCTTCCTTCCTTCACGCAGGCAGCTACCTGACCTGTGGACTCGAGGGCGCAGGGCTGCTGGCTCGCCCCTTGCCAGGCTCCGAGTTACCCAGCCAGAGATGGGGCCGCGGTGGGGTCAACCTGACACCAGGGCTCTTTCCTTCCAGCTCTGGCCCTTTCTGGTTCTTTTTTGGATCCCCGACCATGTCAGGCTGCAGACCCTCCGTCAGAAAAGATGAGTTTCGCACTTGGACCCAAATGTGGCTCGTGGTCGCGGGCCAGCGGGGAGCTGGGCCAAGGCTGCCGGCCTTCCCGTCTGGGATCTTCAGGCTTCCATCCGAAGGGCGGTTCCAGCACCCGCATCGGGGTGGGGGGGCGGGTTGACGCCCATCGAGGGGTTTCCGCGTAAACTCCTAGGAGAGTCTAAGCGCCTGCCTGAGCACGCGCGCCAGGGGCAGCGGAGCGCGAGCCCTGGACATCGGCCTCCGGGCTTGCGCCTTGGTCCCTGTCCCCCGAGAGGGAACCTTAGGGGTGGACGGTGCTGCGGAGACACCTACCACGTGGTCAGGTTTACATTCGACCCCGGGGACACTACTCCAAGGAAACCCTTCTGAAAACAGCGCTGTCGCGGGGAGCCAGCAGGAGGAGCGAGTCGTTAAAGCCGTCACAGCTCCGTGCCCAGGAGCACCGCGGCGCGGGGGCGCTGGGGGCAGCCGGTACCTCAGATGGTCGCAGGAGGGTCGCAGCCTAGCCTCAGAGAAGAGGCTGAGGGACGTGGGTCTTCCCTCTGCGTACCCAGCGCTTTCTGGTTTCCCAAAACGAACACAGACCACATTTGTACTAGAAAGACCCAATAAACGTTGACAGAGTCACGAAGCCAGTGTAAGTACCACCCAGAAGTGTCAATGATGCAATATTCCTTGAAGGATTCCAAACCCAAAGTAGAGAAACGTGATGACTGATGGAGGAAGGGAAGCCTGGCCGAGAAGATGCTGACGGTGGTCGTGTTAAAACAGAGCCATGAAGTGCTTCCTCTTCCTTTCCTTTACAAACCTAAAAAGGGAACTTTGGATTTTCTGACACCTGTAATATGTGACACATTATATATAGACACATATATATCTTCCTCTTTACATATATTACATAAGTGTGTAACCACATGTCTAGATACATACACGCATCAATTTCTACCAAAAATCTCCTTAAGATTCTGACTGGGATGAAACTGAATTTCGAGGTTAATCTGGGAGAACGGAACCTTGCTGTTTGCTCACAAATGGGTACATTTTCCCATCTATTCAGACCTTCCTTATTTAAGTCCTCAGTCACATTTTTTGCCTCTCGCTCTTTCTTTATTCTTCTTCTTGCTTTTCGTTTCTCACACTTGTTTTCTCATATCCCCCTGAAGCTCTAGATCTGTGTTTGACAAACGGGCTTCTTAAGAGCCTTCAACAGCTTGCGGGAAGCCCCACAAGGGGCAGGCTCCGAGACGGACCAGACCGAGGCACCTCACCTGCTTCGTATCCTAGGTGTGTCCTAGGAATCTGTTGGAAAAAGGTCTTATTGCTAAAAAGGTTTGAAAACTATCACTCTAGACTTTTTTTTAAACTGTGATAAAATATTCACAATAGAAAATTTACCATCATAAGCATTTTTTAGTGCACAGCTCAGTCGTGTTAACTGTATTCACATTGTAGTGCAGCTCTCACCACCATCCATCTCTAGAACTTTTCAATTCAGTTCTTGCAAGACTCAACTCTCACGCATTAGTCAAGAACTTCCCCTTCCCAGCCCCACCCCAGCCTCCACTCTAGATTTTTTAATTTATTTTATTTTATTTTATTTTTTCACTCTAGATTTTTTAAAGGCAGATTGAATGGGTGGCTTCAGTTACAAAATAAAATGATCTGCATGTTTGCTGAAGGAAACCATACAAACATATGAAAAACTTGGCTCAAGAAGAAACTTTCTTAAAAAAAAAAAAGAAACTTTCTGTAAGATCATTCAAACTTTCTGAACTCGAAGGAATCTGGGTGATGATTCAGGTCTTTGGAGTTCTTTTAGAATCTAGAAGCTCAAAAGAAGGGTGCAGAAACTCCACGGACGAACAGGTGGGTGCTCGGAAGCGTTGGGTAAAGTGTCCAGGGGGTCGGCTGAACTTGAGAGCCTGCCTGCTCTTTTCACGATGCCATCTGTAAACCTCACATTTTGTGTCATTAGTCGGGATACACAGACTGAAGTGAACAGAATAGGGCTTTATCCGTGTCCCTGGAACAGCCTGAACAAAACGGAGAAGGGCCAGGAGGGGCCCATCGGGGCTGCTGCCCTGACAGCGCCGAGGTGCCTCCCGCACCGCACTGTCCAGGTGGCCAGCGTCTGCGTCCAGCCCGCGGGAAGGGGGAAGGGGAAAGGGGGAGGGCAGAGCTTTTCCTTCAGGGCACGACCAGGAAGTTGCCGTGTCTGCTGTCCCCCTCTTGCTAGAACGGGCTCGCAGAGCCATGGCTGACTCGGGGCACTGGGAAATGCAGTCTTTATTCTGGAGAGCCCTGCACCCAGCTAAGGCTCTGCTCTCACGGGTGAAGGACAGAAAGAACAACAGCCAGGGAGAGGACTCACTCTGACATGTCTCGTTTTCCCCGACCAGCTTGCAGGTGGCTGGAAAAGACGGAGGGCTTTTAGGTTAATAAAAGATGGGTTTGAATTCCGGCTTTCCCAAACTCCAACCCTGCAGCCTCTGGGGCATGACTTCTTCCCTCTAAGCTTAAATTTTTCATCTGAAAACGTGGGGACCGTTCTCATCTTGCAGGGTGTCTGAGGCTTAGAGATGAGGTATGTGATGTGTGTATAATAATAACGGATGTAACACAAATAGCTGGCGTTCACCAAAGGAGCGTTTTCGTCATGATCGGTGCTGCCAAGTGTCTGAGCAAGCAATTACTGATGGATGGCTCATTTTTTGTGCCAATGGGTATGGGCCGTGCTGCCCACATATGTGGTCAAATATTATTCTAGAAGTTTCTGGGCGAGTGTTTTTGGGTAAGACGAGCATTCAAATCAGTGGACTTTGAGTAAAGCAGATGGCCTTCCATAATGTGGGTGGGCCTCGTCCAACCAGCTGAAGGCCCGAATCAAACAAAAGACTAACCTCCCCAACATAAGAGGGAGTTCTGCAGCAGACGGACTTCAGACTTGATTTGAACGGTAACAGCGACTCTTACCTGGGTCTCTAGGCTGCAGGCCCACCTGCAGATTTTGGGCAGGCCAGCCATGGGCCAATTCCTTAAAAATAAATCTCTCCCTAGATACATACACATCCTCTTGCTTCTGTTTCTCTGCAGAACCCTAACTAATGCCCTGGCATGTATGTTTATTTTCCAGAGTACATTCAGACACCGGGTGAATTCCTTTGCACTCCAGATTCTTTATGTTGATTTCTGTTCTACAGGCCTTCTCTCTTTCTTCACCCAGCGTTTTAGGGCCAGCTTTATTTTTTAGGGGGTTGGGGAGGAGAATGTGGGAGAAGAGGAAACATTCTTGCTTTTAAAAATAGGTCTGACCTTTGAGCCTCTAAATGAACTTTTGGGATTCTGCCCTAAGAAAACATGTCTAGATATGGAGAAAGTTTGATGTACAAAGATTGAAAAAAAAAAGGTTTCAACCACAATGCATTTATTTGGGGTGAGGGAGCTTGGAAAGAACCTAAATGTCCCAGACAAGGGGTGGCATAGAAATGACCTTCATCAAGAGGTTTTGATTAGAATGTTGATTGGAATTCTAATATTGGTTCAAAAATGCTAGTAAAGGGGAAAACTGGACAGCGGTTTATAACTGCTGTACACAATTGTAATTGCAGTTTCCACTTAAACCTAAATGTTTAGCAATAAGAGATGAACGAATAAAATTTTAGTACAGACACAATGGGATGGAGTCTAGTCTACCCTTAAATATGACTCAGTTAATACATACGAATAATGGAAATACAGTTCTGCCTGCGAGGACCTCCCTGCCTGCTGCCTCTGGATGGAACACGGCTCTCTGGTGTGCCACAGTCCCCATCCCTCCCTGTTGTCCATCCGCCGGAGTCTGGGGCTCTTGTTCCAGCCTCACCTTTGCTCTGCTCACTGCTGTGTTGTGAGAACAAGGTTTTCATGGAACTTAGGGGCTGAGTATTGATGCCTCACCAGTGGCACTCTGTACCCGTGTGGCCTTCTCTGTGACACCTTGTGCCTGCCACGTGGACTTCCTTGCGGGAAGGACCTTGGTATAATCATATTTGGTTTGGGTTGGCCAGAAATGTGCTTGTGACTGTTACATCACATGGTGGGAAAAAGTTTATTATTTTAACCACTGGCCCCAGAGTTCCGTTGAGGGAGAGAAGTTTCTCGTCTGAAGACTTCTGTGACTGTTGCTTGGGGAAGAAGCAAGAAATGACACTTGCTTGCAGGTGTCTAATGCAGCCCCAGGAGGGGCCTTGCTTCCCTGAGAAAGGGAGGGCTCTGCTGTTGTTTCTGGAGAAGAGAGGTGGTGAGGAGGACAAGGAGAGAGAGAGAGTGCGGAGATGACAAAGGACGGGGCCAGGTGAGCCCGTGTGGCCTTATGGCCAGGACGGAGGGGCCAAAGGCCATTTTGGGAGCAGTGATGTGCTTCCAAGGTGTGTCTGTCACAGAGACAAGGTAAGTCTCCTCTCCTCCCACCTGAGCTCCTCCGTGCCTCCTGCTCTGCTCACTGCTGTGTTGTGAGAACAAGGTTTTCATGGAACTTAGGGGCTGAGTATTGATGCAAAGTTGACCTGGGCTGTCGGGGCAGCCATGTGGGAAGCAGGTGCCCGCAGCCGGCAGAGGGTGTGAGACGCGGAGTCCTGGGACCTGGTGGGCACTGGGAAAGGGCTGGGGCGTCCAGAGACTGTGGAACTGGGGGTGGCGTGGAGGTGGGACAAGCCGTTTTCCTGGGAGCTGGGGGATAGAGAAGCCCCAGTTGGTATCTGTCATGGCAAAAATGGACACAGGTTTCCAGAAGGAGCCAGACAGGTGCCGAGAGTGAAAAAAACCCATCTCCGAGCCCAGCTGAAGTGGCCGAGCGGCTGGTTTATTCGGAGCTACTGGTGGGCGGGCTGCCCGGGCGGCGTGCGCGGGCGCTCAGGGC